CTTTCATCCCTTGCTATGCTTTGGTAGAGTGATATTTTATGCTTTAGGTTCGGTCCTCGGTATGCGTGCACATGTGCACGCATTTCGGTTGTCTCTTTTCCATCTCACGACTACTAATGTGAGTGTGGCTGAGGTCCACTCATGTTGGTGTAAGTCCATTATGCATTGTATATGCCTTTTCAATTCATAGCATTGCGTATACTAGGTTGCGTGTTAGTGCATTGTGTATGCTATGTTACATCGAGCATTGTGTATGCCATCTCATAGCATTGCGTATGCTAGGTTGTATGTTAGTCGCATTGTGTATGCCATTTCATTTGCATTGTGTTTGGGATAGGAGTTAGCCCAAGCACGGGAAACGAGGGACGTTTCGTACTCCGAGTGATGGAACGTGCCTCAATTCCCCGTCGCCGACACTCCGGATTACCCATGATGGAGTTTAGGTCTTGTTGTGTTTTCATGTGCATTCATTTCATATTGAGTCGTGCAATTTGACTCCTCGGCCATCATGCATCGATATGCGTGATTGGTGGCACGAGGATTGAGGACTACACTCCTTGAAGAGTAGTCATGCATACATATGTGAAATACTTTGCCATGCCCCTTTGTTGCTCTCTGTTGCAGTAAATCAGAAATTAGCGGCCTTCTGGAGCATTGCGCAATCTTCCGAAAACAATTGCAAACAGAGGCAAACCGGGGCATCGTAATGGATTTCTGCGCAAGGCAACTCGAGCATGCATCCTTCATCATTTGGAACAGAGCTGAGGCGGTCCATGGATTTGCGTGCTAATTTAGTTGCTTTCCTAGATTAATTCGTTAATTAATTAGGATTTTCTATTTATTCGGACTGTACTATTTATTCGGACTGTATTATTCTTTCAGACCCTCCGAGCGAGGACACAATTGTAATAAGTGTGCGTGAGTGTGATGTATGTCTTCCAACCCCACGTCTTTCTCCCTTTTATTTACCAGCTTATGATGGTTAGATTAGGGCATGTTTCAATTAGCATACAGTATGATAGCTTGTCTGCATTCATTCATCTGTCTTGCATGCACCGGGCTCGACGCATCATACTAACTGCATTTGTATTTCAATTCCAAGTTGAATACGTGTTAGCTGTAGCATTTCATATGCCATCTTAGAATAGCCGAGCCTATCTTAGTTGCATTTTGCATGTGTTGCATTAGGCATTTCTGTATAGTTAGGATCATACATGATTTCTAATCAGCTTCTGTTTTGGCTTGGAGTACTCGGTAAGTGTTTATGATTTAGCATCCTTGCATGTGTGTGAGTGACTGTCATGATAGCATGCTTACCATGAGGCTATGTGTTTATATGATATAACTCCCTGAATGCCTGTGGGTGAAGGTTGGATTATCTGAATTGGAACAATTCATTGATTGCAAGTTTTAAGCCCACTTGAGAGCGGCAAATCATCATGTTTTCTAAGCCCACCTGAGGGTGGCAAATCCACATTTTAGCCTGCTTGCGAATAGCAAACCGTTTTCAAATAAACAAACATGAGATGTGTTGTTCCAATTCAGGTGACGCAGTCTATACTTGTATGCTGTGCGCATCACATAATAAATCTAGGCTAATAACCGGAATAAGAACGCATAATGTTTTCAAAACTAGATATCATGGTTAGTAGAGGCCGATCTTTGATCAGGCGAGCGGGGGTGCTCCCGAAATGACCTTCCCTAATCGTACCCAAGTTCCCGAGCCGAGGCAACTTTGGTGATGACGGACACGTGGCCTTAGGCAACGAGTCAGTGTTTCCTAAATTTCCGAAAATAAAATATTTAGGTGGCGACTCTGTATCTGGCAAAGCAGTCCATGTTTGGCACTTCTTTCAAAAAATCTATTTTTAAAAACGATTTACCGGAAAAATCTGTTTCTCAAAACGATTTGCCGGATTTGGACTCTTTGGTTCAGATTAAAAACCGTGACAATTTGAGAGTCCTGAATTGTAGTGAACCCAAAATGAACAGAACTGGGGGGGGGGGATTCCCTCTCGGGGCGTTCGGGGACGTCTACAGCAGGGCATCAAATTTTATCAATGATGGATGGGCATTCTGGTTATAACCAAATCTGCATTGCAGAGGAAGATGTTCACAAAACAGCATTCAAATGTCCTGGAAATATTGGCACCTTCGAATGGGTTAAAATGCCATTTGGTCTGAAGAATGCTGGGGCTACATATCAGAGGGCTATGAACACTATCTTTCACGACCTCATTGGAGGGTATTTAGAGTGTTATATTGATAATATTGTAATTAAATCCCAATCCATGGAGGAGCATCTGTTTCACTTAGAAGCAACTTTTGAAAGAATGAGAAAGTTCAAGTTGAAACTCAATCCTCTTAAGTGTGCTTTTGGCGTATCATCTGGAAATTTCTTGGGCTATGTAGTACACAAGAAAGGAATACAGATTGACCAAAATAAAGCCAAAGCCATCATTGAAGCCAGACCCCCATCAAGCAAGAAGGAATTACAAAAGTTCCTTAGACAGGTTAATTTTCTTCGAAGAGTTATTTCTAACACTGCAGGGAAAACTAAAGTATTTTCTTCCTTGTTTAGGTTAAGAGATGAAGAGGAATTTGTATGGATAGCGGAGCATCAAATTGCTTTCGAAGAAATCAAAGCTTACTTGGCCAACCCTCCAGTGCTAATGCCACCAAAGGGCGATAAGCCCTTGAAGTTGTACATAGCTGCAGCAGAAGATTCATTGGGAGCTTTCTTAGTCCAAGACAATGAAGAAGGCAAGGAGCAAGCTGTTTATTACCTTAGTAGGTTTTTAAATTCTTGTGAATGTAAATATTCAGCTGTAGAAAAGTTGTGCCTTGCATTGTATTTTGCTGCAATGAAATTAAGATATTATCTTTTTCCTACAACTGTCTTGGTAATTGCAACCACAGATTTGGTTAAATATATGTTATCTAGACCCATGTTGAGGGGAAGAATTGACAAATGGGTATTAGCCTTGTCAGAATTTCATTTAGAATATGTTCTCCAAAAGGCAGTGAAAGGACAAGTTTCAGCCAATTTTTTGGCAGACCATCCATCTCAAACAGAGAGCCAAGAGATAATGGAACTTGATATGGCTAGTGTTAAGCCATGGCAAATGTGGTTCAATGGATCAAAAGCCAATGGCCTAACTGGAATTGGTATAGTGATTAAGTCACCACAAGGAATAGAAACCACACATGGTTTCAGAGTGGATGAAATTACTTGTTCTAATAATCAAGCTGAATATGAAGCCTTAATGGTGGGATTGGAAATTCTTATTGGATTACAAGTTCATGCAGTTGACATATTTGGAGATTCTCAATTGGTGGTTAACCAAGTGAAAGGGATTTTCAAATGTCAAAGTATAAGCATGTTGCCGTACTATGTTGTTGCATTACATCTGCTTTCTCAATTTCAAATAGCAAATGTAACTCATGTCCCAAGATTCTTGAATAATAGAGCTAATGATGTGGCTCAGAAAGTTTCGAATTTCAAGAGGAGAGATAATACTCAAAGGGACATAAGCCAAACAACATACCAGAAATCTATACCACCCTTAAATAAAAGGAATGTGGTCCTAGAAGTCAATCATAATGACTTACAGGAACAAGATTGGAGGCATCCAATAATGCAGTACTTGGCTGGCCCATCCTCGAAGGCCAGCAGGAAAATTAAATTGCAATCTCTACAATACATCATATATAGCAATGCTCTCTACAAAAGGGGGAAAGATGGCTTATTGCTGGAATGTTTAGGCCCAAAAGAAGCATTAACAGCTATGGCTGAGATTCATGAAGGCATCTGTGGTGCTCATCAGCCTGGTGTGAAAATGAGATGGTTGCTTCGAAGGCATTCCTAGTATTGGCCAACTATCCTTAAAGACTGCATAGAATATGCAAAGGGTTGCCAGGCATGTCAAAAGCATGACACAATAAGGCATGTGCCCATAACTGATCTGCATGCAGTTGTAAAGCCTTGGCCATTCAGAGGATGGGTCATAGATATGATGGGAAAAATACACCCACCCTCTTCGAAGCATCATTGTTTCATTCTAGTGGCTACTGATTACTTCACCAAGTGGGTCGAAGCTAAGCCATACAAGGCTGTAGACCAAACTGAGGTCATTGGATTCATCAAGGATTTAATCCATAGGTTTGGCATCCCACAAACTATAACTGTTGATAATGGGACTGTGTTCGATGGGAAAATGGTGAAGACTTTTGTAGCAGAGTTTGGAATTAGCCTTATTAATTCCACCCCCTATTATGCACAAGCCAACGGCCAGGCTAAATCATCCAATAAGTCCTTGAAGAAAGGAATATAAAAAGTTGTGGAAGACAATCCTAAGGATTGGCATAACTTATTGTTGGATGTATTGTGGGCTTATAGAACTTCCCCAAGGTCAAGCACAGAAGTTAGTCCTTATGCCTTGGTGTATGGGCATGATGCTGTGTTGCCTATGAAAATTAATGTTAAGTCTTTGAGGGTAAGATGCCAAGACCAGCTAGATCCTGAACAATACCATCAGAGTATGTGCTTGGAATTAGAAGGAATAGATGAAGCCAGAATTCTGGCATTAAATAGCATTCTCTCTCAAAAGAAGAAAGCAGCCAAAAATTACAATAAGAAAGTCAAACACATTGGCTTCGATGAAGGTGATTTGGTATGAAAGACAATACTCCCAATAGGAATTAAAAACCATAAGTTTGGTAAATGGTCACCTAACTGGGAAGGACCATATCAAATTCATAGAGTCTTGCCTTTCGGAGCATACCATTTGAGAAATTCGAATGGATACATACATCCCAAAAAGATTAATGGCAGATATTTGAAGCCTTATTTTCCAACTATTTGGGAAACACAAGGAATAGAATAAATGTCAAGCAAAAGAACACAAGAGTACTCAAATGATAAATCAGAATCTATTTTTTCATAAAGAGTTGAGTACATTTTGTCATAAATTGGCCCAAAAATCATTACAAGGTCTTAATTATTCTTTTACAACAGATTTCCTATTGTTAAATGATGAAAACAACTGAATAGCTGCAATCATTTCCTCCTTTCGATCGGCCAATCCTTGGTTGGTGATTTGCAGTTTGGTGTCAGTTCGGATTAAGGCCTGGTTCACTGCAGATAGCTCCTCCTCAAGTTGAGCTTTCCTTTCCAATAGTTGAGTTCGAAAATGGGAGACAGAGGAATGTTGTTCCTTTAACCCTGAGACTTCAGCATGTATTGTGGAAACAAAGCTCTGGTCTCTCACTAATTTCTCCTCTGCAGCCTTGGTAGCATGGCAAATATTGATGTAGAAGTTGATGGTAGCTACTGCCTGAGATAGATGATTTGAGACATTCATGCCGGACTGCTCAGCAACTTTGCAGCACTGAAGGAACCCATTTCTTATTATAGGCCTTTGTAAAGCCTCAAAAGGGATCCTCGAAAAAGAGATTAACAGTTCCAGGCAGGTTTCTAGGTCCATTAGAGGTTCAGAAGGCTTGCTACTAGAAGAAGAGGAGCTTTCAAGAATTTCTAGCAAGGAGTTAGCCAAGACTAATAGCTCAGCTTCATCATTGGCTATTGGAGAGGTAGAGGGTATGTCGAATAGACTGGCTAGTCTTGCTTCGAAGATATCTACCTCATCCGTAGACATGAGGGGCGCAGAGAGAGCTGTAGTGGAAGGCACAGAGGACTGCATAGGGATAGGAGAAATGGGTGGAGCATCTTCAGCAGTCTCTATAGTCCTAGCCACCAATAAGTCAAGGGAAGAGGGGCTGGAATAAGGCAGAGGTAATAAACTATGGCTTTGAGAGCTACCAATACCCTTTATAGGAGAATCAACTACCATCAGAGATGAAATAGCAGTTGGAATTTCCTTGGAAGAAGGAGGAAGAGCAAGGTTCGAAAGAGAACCGAATTGAGGTGGGTCAAAGGTCATATGGGGAAGATATGGAGTCAAACCAAAAGAAAGGAATTTAGGAATGCTTGGTCTCAAAGAGGGTACATCAAATGCAGGCTTGGGAAGTGGAAGGATGATTTGAATAGTCCTCACGTTCTGCAGCTGATCAACTTCAACTGAAATTGAGGGAGTCCTCATTGGAAGAATAGGCTCAATAGTTGTTGCTGCAAAAGGAAGAAATGTAAAGTAATGTTAAGTTTCAATACCAAAATTTGACAAGGAAAAATAGCAAAAGCATAAAAGAAATTACTTGTTTCAGGAGTGTTGGCAATAATAGGAGAGCTACGAAGGGAGTAATGTTCGGCAATTTGTTGTCTTCTTGCAGTTTCCCTTTGTAATGCATCAGCGGCAGCAGCTTCATCTCTCAGAAATTATTGTTGCCGTCTCTTCTCAGCTCTCTCGAAAACAATTATGGCCTTAGAGTGTTCCTGTTTTACTGCCTTGGCAGCTGCCTCATATACAGGATCTTCGACGAAATCAGAAGGAGAGACAGTCATCTTTCTTTTCTGTTTTCTCTGTATTGTTGTCTCATCTTGAACCAAGTTAGAAGAAGAGACGGTCACTCTTTTCCTTCTTTTCAAGGGTGACTCTTGCCCTTGATTTTCTTCTTCTTCTTCTTCTTCTTCTTCTTCTTCTGCTTGAACCTCAGGTACTTCCTTTTCAGGCTCAAGTAAAAGTCTCATTTTCTTTTGTTGCCGTTTGCTTTTGAGAAGATTTAGAGCTTGAGTCTTCTGAGGAGAATCTTCCTGTGAGGCTTCGCAAAAGAAGAACTAAAGATAAGGCTAAGAGCATTATAAAGAAGGCAAAAGGAGAAGAGACAAGGGTGTATATCTTTCTTCGAGGTGGCTCGGGTAACTCTAGAAAGAGTTGAGGCAGTAGGAGCAGACTGTGTAGTAGCAGGCATAAGAACCGAATTGGTAAGGGCAGTGGAAGAAGCAACAATTCCAGCTCCTTGGGGCTTAGGCACATCTAACACCATTAGTAGGTCTTGAGGAGAAATAGCCAGGTATACTTCCATATTGGTTGCCCACCAGTTGTGGTACCTCTTCAACATGTTACCTTAAGGAAGAAAAGGGGTATACTCAAAATCGATCAAGTCTTGTATAAACTTAGAAGTTGCCTCTTCTAGTCTGGACCATCGAACTTTCAAATCCCTGGTGGTAAGACTTAGATTGGTGTTACTACAGAGAGATATTGGGACCCCTTGTGAGAAGCCAAATTGTCTAGCAAATTGAGCAGGACAGTAGGGCTCAGCAATGCATTTGTAAGCTCTGGGGTTCAAGGTCCCAATGAATAATTCTCTAGGGATTAAAATAGAGGCCCATATGTCTTTATGAGCAGGTGAAGCACAAAGCCTATCACTTAAGAAATTCTTCAACCAAGGTGGACCAATGGTGATTGGTTCGAAGGGATGGAAGCAGTAGAAAGGAGGAGAAGTTGGAAGTTGATGGAAGAAAGAGAAGTAAAAAGCAAAAGTGGAAGGATAAAGTGAAGCATTAGCTAGCCTCATACCATGAGTAGGAGGGTTGGGTTCAAAAAATTTAAGGCATTTGGATTGTAACTCAGTGAAATAAGCAAAAAGCCAAAACTGAAGAATCCAAAATGGCCCCCCTTGATTGGCATCTAAGGGTTTCTCACAGAAAAGAGAACAGGCTCTATATACGTGACCTAGAACGTATGGAGCTAAAGCCACCCTCTTCTGTAAAACAAGGGCTTTGGAAAGAGGGGCAAATTCGGGCATGATTCTTTGAGAGGAGGTGCAGAAAAGGAACTTGCAAAGCCAATATAATAAGAAAGAAAAGAATTCCCTATCAATCACAGGACCCTCCCTTCTATTCTCAATCTTGATAAAGTCACTATAGGATGAGTTAAGAGAAGGAAGGGAAAAGGGGACTGCTAGGTCAGGATAATCCGGTCCAATGGGGGTTCCAATGGGAGATAATCCTAATAGATGGCAAATGTCAAGGACAGTAGGGGCCATCATCCCACATATAAATTGGAAGAAATTAAAAACAGAATTCCAAAAGCACAGAGCAGTGGGAATCAAGAAAGGGTCTTCAGGAATAGTTAACCTGGATAATTGAAGGGCATCGAGAAGGCAGAGTTCTTGAAGGTCCAGAGTCCTATTAGGGACAACTTGATCATACCATTCTTGCCACTCTGGTCTCACCGTGGGCCAGCATCGGTGGGGGCGATTTGTTCTCCACTTCCTCCAATCAAGGCCACCTTCGTAAAGAAGACAATGGTCTTCTAGACGAGGATATAGAGCTGGAAGCTCAATA